AAGAGCACTTTTCTCACACTAAAAATACCCTTAAAACCTTTACTGGAAATGGATATACAATACATACATACATAAAGACAAACAAAAATTAATGTAACATAGTCAAAAAGTGCGCAGATAAGGGGGGGGGGGGGGGTGAGGGAGGGGGCAACCATCCCTGCTGTATGTATATATAGAAGTTGTAAAACTTTTGTCGTGCTCTATAGCATTGTACAACTCTTAAGTATTAGGCGATAAAGTATAATATAATAAGATCAGCCCGATATTAGGGCACAATCTTATTATATTCTATGTTATCTTTTATATAGGGAGGGAGGTTTGGCGTTTGTCCTTTAATCCTTGGTTGTTGTTTTTGTGGCTTCGCTAGCGGCCGCAATCTATTTGCTATGATCCGCATAAATCTCCTCAATCTTTTTCCTGCGCTTCGTCAGCAGCGGATTGTTGGACTTGTCCAGTGCTTTAATTTGCATCTGCAACAGATTGGATAGGCGATTATAAATTGTATGCAAGAATTTTGTGAGTGCTATGTATATCAATTTACTTGATCGTAATCGACACGCATGGTGGCCAGCGAACGTGTCATTTCCTCCTGCACCTCCGGCCAGGTCTCTTCGCCCTCTTTTAGTATGCGGCCGGTGCAGAGGGGCGTTTGGGGCACGGCATCATATTGTGCTATCCATTTGTTGCGCAACACATCCTCGATGCGCAAACGCTTGCTGGGATCCACATTGAGCATGCCCTTAATTAAATCCTTGGCCGCCTGACTGACGTGCGTCCATTCCGGATCGGGAAAATCATATTGACCGTTGCGTATGCGCTTCTTCATGCCCGGCGATATGGATAGGCCGTTGATGCTATAGAACGGCGGAAAGCCGCACATTATAATATACATGACCACGCCCAGCGACCAGATGTCACAGCTCTTGTCATACTTTTGGGGGCCAAGAACCTCCGGCGCTGAAATGCAATAACAATCAATCAATCAATATGCAATTCGTTAGCTATTTTTAGCTGCGAGGCAACTGACCGACATAGTACGGCGTATAGCAGGGCGTCTGTAGAGTGTCATTGGTGAAGGTCTCCTTGGCGAAACCGAAATCGGTGAGCTTCAGTATAGCATTTGGCTCCTTTGTCGTATAGAGCAAGTTCTCCGGCTTGAGATCCCGATGGGCAATATCCCGACTATGCAGATAGTAAATGGCCTCGCTTATCTCGCGCATTATATGCGCCGCCTCGCGTTCCGTAAACGAGCTGTCCGCCTTGTCCTGTATGCGCTGGAACAGCTCACCCCCCTCCATGCTGCAAATGGAAAAGGAATTGCGTGAATAACGACTGAAAGTAATCTCAGGCAGGCCTAGTCATGGCTTTTATTAAATAGTAAATCTTATTTATCAGCTGCACTGCCTGTAAATAGTCTACGAATGCTGCACAAACTAGAAGCTGAGTAATAGAATGAGTGTAACATTTTTTATTGACCCATTAAAGGCTATTTTAGCTGTCGCTAATTGGAATCTAATTGGGACTGGCTGTTGGTGCAGCAAAAGTTAAGCTGCCAGTAAAAACGTTTACGAATGCCGCACAAAGCAGAAATGTAAATTCAAGTTATTCAAAGAAAGCATGAGAGGAAGAGTGCGACTATAACTAACGCATTAAAGTATCTACACGAATTTTGGAAATAACCGAAAATTATTGCTAGGGATCATCGTAAGAACGTTTTAATAATATATTTGTATTGACTGTTTTAATTAGTACATTTTTATACCTAGCTCTGGTCTGGCATGTGCAAGTCGAAAATGTAGGAAGCTGCATTCCATTTGCAGTAGTTACATTTTCTGTTAAATTTCTCATACAGATGTTGTAATATAGAACAGTTAAACTGCAATTTTTTTAAGTTCGTGTTCAAAAAAAAAAAACATGGCTCGAGCAAAGCCGGGTAATATCGAATAGCTTAATGGGCGGCACCTAATGAAATCATTGGCTATAAAATGAAGATTAACTGCACAGAGCTAAAAACAAGGTGGCAACCCACTAATCACAATTGATTTGCGTGTGAAAGTCGCGTTAGTGAATAAGTGTTCGGGTTCGCCATTTTGAAATGAGTTAATGCGATTCCAATTGGACGCCACTTGATGATAAGTAGGTAGCCGAACAATTCGAATGGGTTAAAAGCATTTTGTGTTAAGACGCACCATTCCATTACCACCAGCAGGCATTTGCGACCGCTGTAGGTGTTCTCGTAGACATCGATGATGTTGACAATGTGCTTGCAGCCGCTGGCCCGCCAGTGCAGATCGACCTCTCGTCGCGCCTTCTCATTGTCCAGGAGCACTTTCAATGCATAGTTCTGTTTGGTGCGCCGATTGGTGCACTGCACCACTTTGCCGTTAATGCCCAGGCCTAGGACCGTATCCGATATCTCATAGTCGTCCACCAAAGGTGTTGTCTTTGGTTGACGTTGATTCTGCAGCGAAAGCATTTTGTTTTTTACCTTGCTTTATCTGAAGCGGGAATGAGAAGGAAGAACAAATTCTGGTTAGAGTTGGTATGTAATGCTATGTTTATGCGGGTATGACATTTGCCAATTGCCATTTGCTCGGGGGCAAATTTCTATTGGGTAAATACTGTAAGCGAGTAGTGCTGCCATCTATCGCAAAAAAAGAATTTACAATGTCATCGTAGCATAATTAAACATTGCAAATATTTTGTTTTGGTAACCCGCTGCGAACTGTCAGCCAGTGTTGCCGTATCGCATATATAATTGTTTTTAAAACATTTACATAGCCAAATTCAAGCTAATTTTTATTTGAGCAATGACGTCACGCGCGCTATGTTCAATAACTTATATATAACATGCACACACACACACACACACATACACTTCATTGTGGTATTATTTACAATAAGCAATTTGCTGCTACGCTTAATGTGGGCGCAACAACTTGTTAACAATACCGACAAGAAAAAAAAATAAATAAAAAAAATTCTCAACGCGATCATCTTGCTGGGAACGGGGAGGGGATGTCGCAACTTCCCCACGGCGTAACCGAACTTCAAATAATTGAATATATTTTGCATATCGAGTACTTTTTTACAATGGCATATAAATAAGCCATCAACTGGCCTGAATTTTGAATTTCTTTGAATATGTTAATTGGCTTACAGCGTTTTCCGTTTTGTTTATGAAATTTTATGCAGCCAGACGAGGCTGCTGTGGCTGCCGTTCGTTTACCTGTGTGTGTGTGTGTGCCGTATGGTCAGCTGGTTAAGCCATGCGACTTGTACAGTTAGTAACAATGATAAATCTTGCACTAATTGTCGGTTGAGGGAAAAGAGCAAACATTACACAATGTTTAACGGGGAGTGCTTAGACGAAAATGCATTTGCGGCCTGGCAACTCTGCAACGACTCTGATTGGACATTGAGCTGCGTTGGCATGCCCACTTTATCTCACGTCTCTCTCGCTTGCTCTATGTGTGTGTTTGCGTCTGTGTGTTGTTTAAAACTGATGAAATAATGTGTTATTCAAAAAAAAAATAATAATAAAAAATTCGCACAACTAATTCGCCTGCGGTAAATTCATGTAATGCTGCTGCGATCATACGAAATAAAAACAACATATTGTACGGCACTCGTTCACTTAAAGTTGCCCCCGCACCAGCCACACACACACACACACACACACCTGGCGTGTGTCAATGCGGCAGCAACATGCGTCATGTTTCCCCACTTAATGCGGTATGCTATTTATTTAGTACCATTTTCACTTTGCGCTTATTTTTATCAGTCCGTGCGCGCACACACAGTTTAATTTTTTTTTTTTCTTTTTTTTTTGATTAAATGCTTGTTTGGATCAATGTCGTCGCTTAACACACCGTTTGCAGAGACAGCTCCGTTAATGTCATATATATTTCATATTAGCACTTTGGTACTTGGTTTCTGTAAGTGGTCCGCTTTTCATTAACATACCTTTAAGTATTTGTTATTTTTTCTCTTTTTCGGCGTGCTATGTTACAACAACAACAAAAAAAAAAAGAAAACAAGCCGCTTTGAACGTTACGCCCGAACGCAGCACGCTGCGTGTTTCAACCCAAAAGCAAAAACAATAACTGAAAATACGACTAACAGTGTGACCAGTTTATGCAAGCGCATAATTCTAGATGGCTACTCTAAATGACTACAGCAACGCAGCTGTTGCAGTCACAGCCATCTGGCAACCCTGCCAGACGCGCTAATGCTTAAATTTTGACAGCATTTGCGCCTGGCCCATACGTTCACATTGTGAATTTATAGACCCCATATAGTACGATTGATAATTGTTGGCTCGAGGTAATTTCTTGTTGTAGACAGCTAAAACACAAAATACGCAATTTTGTCATTGTGTTTGGGGGCACATAGAAGAAGGGACTACAATAAATACTGTCATCCACCATACAATTTTTAATTGGTCACTCCAAACGAAATATAGGACTTTTAAAATCAATTAACATATGTATCATACATGCATTGCTTAGTCTATACTGTTCACAATTGTGCATCAGGACATCAGCGAATCGATAAACAATTCGAAACGCTCGGGCCGTGACCAAAAAGTCCTTCTGTTGAGTATTGCACTGATGGCTCACGCAGCTGTTCAACTTAAAGTTTATTTTATTGTTTTATGCTTAAACAAAATTGTGTTTTTTTTTCTTTTTCTTCAGTTATTGGTATTCTTAAACTTAAATCAAACTGGAAACTAACTGCCTTTCTGAAGTTCAAAATGATAATAAACGTTAAATTGAAATTAAATGACATAGGTATTAATTGCGATCGCATTATTTTCGACTACAAATTAAAGATTTCAGGTTTTCAAATATCAATTGGACAAGGTTTTGGTATTATTCTTTTTTTTTCGCTTCGTTTTAGTTGTTTTCCTTTTATGTTGATCTCCTAAATTTTGAAAATGTACACACATACAAGAGCACTAACGCACATACACACACACACGTACGCATGCACGCACGCACGCACGCACACACATAGACATACACATACACATGGGAGGAATTGTGGATTTGCAATCAGTTTTTGTTACGATTCCTTTGAAGATTGTGATAAAGTATAGTAGGATTTTGTGGAGCTCGCGGGGGCTGCTCTTACACGAGTGACGGCTCTGCTAATGTGATTCCGGGGTCTGTCCAGTCGCTTCAGTCGATGTTTTAGGCTGACAAACCGAGTGTTTTGCGCACCAATCGCTGTGCGATGCGATTGAATTCGTCCCTCCTCTCCCGCCACATAATCGCTGCATCCACATTGGCGCCGCTCTCATCATTGGGCTCTACAAAAAATTGTAGAAAACGCGCATTAGATACAGTGTGTTGGCGCAGTTTATTGATTAGGCTGTTATTTAGCCAGATTTACCCGCCAACATGCTAACCACACTCAATAGAATCTTTTCGACACTCTGCACGGGACTCCAACGTTCGGCTGACAATTCATAGCCCATGGGATCGTCGCCGGGTGCGTGTAGTATTGATATGCAAACGCGGCCATCGGCAAAAATGTTTGGATGAAACATATCACAAGTGAATTTCATTTTTGGTGGACTTAATGGGTAGTCGGGTGGAAAAACTAGACGGGCTGGAAAAACGCCGCCCTCAAAGCAGGTGCCCTCGGGTCCGCTGCAAAGTAGATAACATGCACACACACACATATGCACATATTAATAACATATACGATTGAATTGTTATGACAATAACTCACGCAATCAGCGCCTCCCATTCAAAGAAATTGTCCTCACTGATGGGTCCAGCGGCAATGCCCTCTGGCGGATCCATTGTTAACTCTGGAATTTGATCAGAAAACCCAAATAATAACGGTGATCATTGGGTACAAGCACGTCCCCGCCCCGCCACCTTGAATCAACAGCCCCCCCCTCCCTCGCAAACTGAGCACACATCTCTTCTGTGCCATCAAGCAGCCACCAGCGCACTTACGTTTGTACTCCGCCATCAGGCGACGCAGCGCCGAGCCAGCCATTTGTCGTCCACTTTTGTTGCGACGCGAACAATTGCAGCTCGAGGTCAAGTTAAGCGAAAACACCACGTTGGTATTTGCGAGCGTGTGGCATAAAGTTGCAAAGTGTTTATTTATATATATATATGTATATAAAGTGTGTATAAGTGTATATATATATATATGTATATATATATACATATATATATATATATATATAAATATATATATGTGTATAAAAAATAAAACAAAACTGTCGAACTGCGTGTATATGTGTATTTATTTTGTCCGTATGCGTATGTCAATGTCGGCCAGCTTGAAAAAAAAAATGAAACTACGTTTTTCGTTGGGGGTTGCCAGATGGTTTCACCTGCAAATCATTTAGAGCACACACAAAACATATGTAAATTGCAGTGCGGACAATGCGACGACCAGATTTATTAAAATGTGCATTGTTCAAGTATTTTGTGCGCACTGTTTATTTTCCTTTGTTTCTAGTGATTTGGCAAATGTCATACTTCGTAAACAGCTGAGTGTTTTTTTTTTTTGCTTTTCTATTTTCTTACTTTTCTAAGTATGTTGTGCAATGTGTTCAGGTGGCAACGCTGCTGTTTATTATAATTCGCGAGATCTGGCAACTTGCTATGTTTATTTTTGCTTTTTTTTCCCCATTTTTTGTTTGTTAACAAAATAAAAGTTATGTAAATACAATGCAAAACTAAAAAATTAAGAAAACAATAAACAACAACAACAATTAAAGCTCGTTGTGCTGTTGTGGACGCCGACTGACCGGCAAATGTGCTTTAAGCTCGCGCCAGAAGTCAACACGATGCTGCAGCAGCGCTTTCTCCATGCGCAGCAGCGCCGGCAGCGTCCCATCATCCATCGCATCCAGCTTGGAGCCAAGGCGTGCGTACTCCACCGGATATTTGGATGTGGGCCGCCAAGTGGGTAAGTTGCTTGTGCCAATGACAGGATTCGGGTCACTAACAGAAATATACATACATACATATTATTTTAAGTCTGAAGCAATTTACAACAGCAATTCTTACCCGGTACGCGCAAAGTTAACCCAAAGCCGCAGCATTAGATCGCGTAGCTCCAGATCCTGGCGCGTTGGCACGGCGCTAACGAACAGTTGCTGGCCAATGGGAAACAGATATTGCAGCTCCTCTGCATGGCAAGCGCCATAGAACTCATTGTGCGCACCCTTGAATATCTCTGAGAAACTGGCAGCGCCCTTATGATCAAATAGATAGACATAGGTGGGCGCCGGCAACGCCTGCTGCTGCTCGTCCAGGCGCAGCTGTAGATACTCATCGACGCCAGCCACAAACCAGCCATCGGAGATTAGCTGCAAGCATAACGTATACATAAATATTGATCATTTACTCATACAAGGCATTTGCAGGATTCGCATACATCGGTCAAATTCTGATGATTGGACTTGTTGTAGTTGTGACCCGACTTAAAGTAGAAGCTCTCGATGTGCCGAGTTATCTGCTGCTGTGTCTCAGCGTCATGATGATCATAATTGAGCACAATGGGCAGCAGCTGTTCAAAGTACGATTTGAATTCGTCCATTAGATGTGGCAAATTTAGCAGCGCCGCCGTCTTCAGGAGCCCCTCCTCAGCTGTCACGCCTATCATTAGGGGCAGCGCCTGGCCGTGGGGGGCCTGCGCCTCACGCGGTCGCAGCGTTAGAAAAGCGCCTTCATGCTCCGGTTCAATGACGGGCGGAAAGGGTATCATGGGATCGAAATCCCACACCTGCAAAGAGCATGAAAGAATTGTTTTATACGCCGATTCGCACACACAATCGTACACACACACTTACAAACATATCGTATAGTTTGGCCACAATGTCCTCAGCTGGCTTATCGCGCAAACACTTCAACTTGGCCGACCAATCGTTGCCCGCATCGCTGCAATTTAAGAGCTCGCTCAGCTTGAGCGCACGCTGTGCGGCCACGCCGTCGTGTGCCGGCTGCGCCCAGGGATTAAAATAGGTGCCCGACTGTGCAATGGCGCGATGCAGCAGACCGCGCGATTTCTCGGCAAGCATATGATAGGTGACACTAGCGCCGCCGGCGCTCTCACCAAACACAGTTACGCTGTGCGGATCACCGCCAAAGGCGGCTATATTGGCGTGCACCCAGCGTAGCACCTGTAGCTGATCCTTGAGCCCGTTGTTGCCAGGACAATCGAGTGTTTCGGTGCTAAGAAAGCCGAGCGCACCAAGCCGGAAATTGGCGGAGACCAGCACAATGTCATGCTCGAGCAGAAAGTCGGGACCATAGAAGCTGCTGATGCCCGAGCCGCATTGCCAGCCACCACCATGGAACCAGACCATCACGGGCAATGGCTCAGCTGCCACCGGGTCCGGTGTATAGACGTTCAGATACAGGCAATCCTCGGAGCCCTCGATGGTCATGTCACGCCGAAACGGATCACGCTGCATGCACACGGGCGCATCCTTAACAGCCAATCGCTCGCCCTGCCATGCCGGCTGCTCCACTGGCGGACGAAAGCGCAAATCGCCCAGCGGCGGCAGTGCATACGGTATGCCCATAAACGCACGCATATGTCGACCACTGTGCGTGGTCCTATGGCGTCCAACCAGCCAGCCGCCATGCGGCAGCTGCACATGCATGCCCTGCGATGCACGCGCCTCCGCACCGCCCATCAAGGTTGTGCCCAGCAGCAGCAGCACCAGCAGCAGCTGCATCAGCACCAGCAGAAGAAAATTGATTGCCATTTAGTCCGGTCTCGAAGTCGAAACTGATTTGGCCAACGTGCTGCGCTGCCGGTTTTAGATTACAACATCATCAGCCCAACCATAAACATGCGTCGCCATTTGCGATCCACCACAGCACACTGGTTCCGGCTGCCAAAAATATTTAAAAAAAAATTCAAAACTGACCCACCATTATTCAAATCCAATTAATTTGAATAACTTGCAAGCGTACAAAACAACAAAAAGTCCCGAAAGCAAAACATGAATTATTGACAGTTGACTAATTAAATGACTATTCTAGAAAAGTACTTAAAGTTTTAGTTAAGACTAAACAGGTTAGCACTAGAGCGAACGCCAGAGCGAGAGAGAGAGTAATGGAAAGGGTGTGTGTGAAAGAGAAAAGTAATTAATTGGTAAAGCAAGCGCTTTCAGTTGCCGAATGCTTTTTTGAATGCGCTTTAAGCCCCAATGTTATTTACATGCTGATTTGATTTTCCTATTTTCTTGAGTTTATTTGGGAGAACATATTAATATATATTGATATTTAATCCTGCTGCAAGCTTTAACGTGCTTGCGAAGCTCGTTCGAAGCAAGCTTTCTTTTGTAAAGCTCAATGCAACTGAGCTTTCAGCTGAAAGTTACACAAATTGATTAAATATTTTCTACAATTTCTCAAATATATATTCAATATATATTTTTGAATGTTTGATTTATATTAACTTATGCATTGTTTGGTTATTTATTTGTGTTTGATTTTCATTTAACTACCAATTATTTTCTCGTAACGACCGACTTTTCTGCACGCCTCGCACCACTGTGCGCTGCATTAAACTCGTTTACATACTTACGTTAAAACAAAAAACGCTGGTCATTAATTTAAAATTCGTATCTGTTTTCTTTAAGTTTGCTGTTCTTGTTGTTGTTCGCTACTCAGACACCAGATTACCATATGGATTTCTTCTTAGCTATGCTGAGACTTGGCGCGGCGCACAGTGGGCCAAACACCTCACTTAATTGGGTTTGTCGAGAAAGTCGCCAGTTTGTTTTTTTTTTTTCTGATTTAGAACTTATTAAAGCCGCAATTAAAGCGTATGATTTGCTTTGAGTTCAAACTCATTGCCATTGTTGTTGTCGTTGGCTGCCTGGCTCCACTGTGCGATGGCTCTGAATGGTTCTAAAAGTGTGCCGCATGACTGGCAAAAAAACCAAAAAAAAACAAGTAAGAGGTTCTAGTCGGGAGCTCCCGACTAGGGGATACCCTGAACCCTCTTCTTCCAACATCAAATGCATATATATATTCTATTTTAGAAGCTATATGTCAAGTTTGGTGACTCTAGCTCCTATTATTTACCAAAATTGCCCAAAAAAAGGGATATCAATATCGATTTTTATCGATTGCTTGGAAACGGAGCAAGTTATCGTATTTGGGAAACAAACTCGATCTGCGCGGGAACTAGGAGCACCTACATCTAAAATTTCAAGTCTCTAGCTCTTATAGGTTCTGAGATCCTTGCGTTCACATACATACATACGGACGGACGGACGGACGGACGGACGGACAGACAGACAGACGGACATGGCTAGATCGACTCGGCTATTGATGCTGATCAAGAATATACATATGTACTTTATGGGGTCGGAGATGCTTCCTTTTGCCAGTTACATACATTTGGCTTTCGCACAAATACAATATACCCTTATACCCATTTTTAATGGGTTCAGGGTATAAAAAAAAAAAAAAAAAACAGAAAGAAGCTGAAACTAAATGTTGTTGGACATTTGCTCGCCGTGTTCTCCTTTCCATACTCATTAATTGGCACCACCTGAGCCACGAGATACTTCAGATGCTGTTTCAAATGCTGTTCACTAATCGAGCTCAAAACTCGAGCTCAATACCTGATCAGCCCCGGCACGGCCTTGGCGCCACACGGGGATTTGGCAGTGCTAAGACGCTAATTGATATGTCTATCATGCATTTTATTCATTAACGCCAAAAATGTGTCCACATCAAATGTTGCATGCACCAAATACTTTGGTAAGGCCCAAAAAAGAAAAAAAAAACAACTACAAATTAAAAACAAGAAAATCAAAGCAGGTTGAGCAATAGAAATATAAAAAGAGACTGTGGACTAAGTAAAAAGAAGTTTAAAAAAATATATAGAAGCATCAAGTAAGGCGTTGTGATGGCGTATGCCCGACGGGCGTATACCCTGTTTAGCGCAGTCGAAAGACACGTTTATAGAACACAATAATTCCAATATTTATATCAAATCGTAAAATACAAAATGAAAAACCTCAACAACAATGCAGCCTTAAATTTCTTTAATCAGTGTGCCACATAAAATTGTAATAAAATCTTTTCGCTTCATTATTAATGATCAATATGAGTAGCTCAGCGCCTCGTATTGACTTAGGCTTTATGCC